TGTTATAGTATGCAGCGGTCTAAAGCTTTCAAATGTATGGAACAAATCCCTTCTGAATGTGACATGACTTGTTGCTCCACTGTCCAGATACCAGCTATATTTGTCATTGTATAAGCACTCGCCGTTTTCAGCCATCATTAGATCTGTAACACATTCTTTGCGTTTTGTTATGGCTTTGGTGGTCTTCCATCACTTATCCACTTAGCGCATTTTCTTACTTTGTGGCCTCGTTGTCCACAGTATTTGCACTTTATATTCTTATTCCTTCCTTTCTCAAAAGGAGCATTCACTGCTAGAGCTTGGTTACTCTCGTTAGACGATGACGTTGAGGGTTGTGATAGAATATTTCGTTCAAATGCACAGAGTTGTGACGTTAGTCTTTCTATAGTCCTTTCCTTTTTAGCCATGAGAAGCCAACTGGATTTAAAATTCATATATACATCAGGCAAAGTGTCTAGGATCTTGCAAATAAGTACTATTTCTGGCAATTCCTGGTTTCTTTCTTGCTTTATAATTTCTATGTTCAGATTGAACCAAATATGTTTTACCTTCGATAAATGAATGCTCATATTGTCTTCAGGTTCTTTCTTATACTCAAAGAATTTCAGACAACTTTCATAGACCAGATCTTCTCCATCTCCATCAAATAGTCTTTTAAGTTCACCCCACACTTCTTTCCATGTTTCAAATCTCATAATTCTTTGGACTATTTGGTCTTCCATATTGCTCGTAAGGATTACAAGTAGCATGCTATCCAGATCTAAGAATTTTTCCTTAGCTTGAACAGAGTCAGTGCTTGACGCATCATTCTCTCGAACCGGCATCGTGTATGTTCCTTCAAGTAAGTCTAATGCTTTTGGAATACCTTAAGTATGTTAATTACTTATCTTGTACTTCCATACCGACCAGTTGGTACCATCCAAGTATCCGATGTGGAATTTTGTAATTTCTGGTTTGGTTGCCATTATTACTTTTCTTCACAATTCTCAGAATACTTTTCCGTATCACGAACCTATACTATGCTACCATATTAAGATAAAAGAAATCTACATTATAATAAAACTAATATTCAATTATCAGTCATCTAGTCTTTTATTTTATTCTATATGTCAAGCTTCTTCCTTTTTCATATGTGACACAAAAACATGGATACACCAACCTCAACACAAACAACAATTATGGAAGAGTCGAGAGAGAGAAATAATTCAGTGGAACAGTCACATTACAAGAAACCTGGCTACGTCCCGGTTTTAATTTCCGAATTCCTAAATATTCTAGTGTTCGTCAAGATAGGTCAGACGGATACGATGGAGTAGCAATCTTCGTTAGTTTAATGATATTAATTTTTCTCAGTTTACTATTCCAAATCATAATTCTGATTTTTCAATTGTTGCCGTTAGCATTAACAACGTATGTTTTTTTTTCTCAACGTATATATTCCACACCCCTCTTCAAGTGTATATAATGAAATAGAATCAAGTTTTTCTATACTTCCCAATCCAATCATAATCATGGGAGATTTCAATGCCCAGCATGTAACATGGGGCAGCTCCAATAGTAGTCATTATGGCTCTCGGCTGTTAGTATCATTATTATAATCATTAAATTTTAAATAGTGGTGAGGCAACTCGTCGCTCACAACCCTACGAAGGAGTCAGTGCCCCCGATCTTTCCGTCTGTTCACCTAATTTAGCTTCTGGCATTTCTTGGACATCTTGGAAAACTTTATCTACCAGTTACGGTAGCGATCATTTTCCAATATTAATAAAATTTCCTTTAACATCATCGTCTCGTACTAATAATCGCTCTCCTACGGAACCCCTCTCCTTGGTATGGAATTTGTTGCAAGCTGCAGAAAAGGGGTATATTCCGTAATATATACCAGTATACTGGCCAGTGCTAATGACGTCATGAATCGACGCTATACTGGTGATTGTTCCGAATTAAAATGGCCAGTGCACTGACGTCTTTTTATTCACCGCATCAATTAAAAGGAATTCTTTTTGTTCGGATGCCATTATTGTTCTTTAGATAAAAAAGAAATAAAATTCGAATGCATCTCACGCACGCTCGGTCATACATCATATTCGTTTTCCCGGTAAAAATATGTTAGCATACCAGTACAATATGGCGTCGAATTCGTGACGTCATTACCACTGGCCAGTATACTGATGAATATTTCGGAATACACCCATAGTGTTCCCAGTCAAAAATAATAATCGTAACAAGATTCCATCTCCCCCTTGGTGGAATAACAAGTGTTCATTAGCAGTTAAAAAAAGAAAGCTTACAGAAAAATTATATAGAGAAAATTCTACTTACGAAACTTTGATTTATTATCTTGTGTAATGACCGAAACAAAGAAGCTTCTTAAAAAAAAGAAGTAGGAAGGCTGGAAGACCTTTTGTGCATCTTTATCACCTGACGTCTCACCCTCTGTAGTTTGGCAAAATATACGCCGGTTTCGATCAGCTTTTAAGGAACCTGGTGCAGCTTTTCTTCCAAAGGATCTAGCAGACAACTTTTTAGATAAACTTGCTCCTCCACCAGTTCCCAATTTCTTTATCTCTCATACTCTTTCCCCGATAATTATTAGCAACAACTTAACCAGTCTCGATTCTCCTTTTAGCCTTGCAGAGCTGAAAGGTGTTTGAGCATACGTTAAAGATTCTGCCTCAGGAACTGACGGTATACCAAATTCCTTTCTATCTCATTTATGCGAATCTAGCCTTCTTTGTTTTTGACGTGACAACGTCTTAAATTAGGTTGCGGCTGGGAGTCACTTATGAAAAAGTGTAACGCTCGGTAACGTTACGATGAGTCTCTCGTGTTAAGTTTAAGTTTACATGTACAATGGTGTCAATTCTGGCGTGATTCTCTAAACTTAAAACTAAATTTAAGGTCAGTCTCACCTTTTCATTCTATATAGAGAAGGACAAGGATGCACTGTTGTCAAATTTAAGTTTAGCTTTAGAGAATCATGCCAGAATCGAAATCAATGTTTTAGTAAACAAAATATATTTCTATAGTTAAAATTTGTGCAATTCTTATTTTCATTCAATTCCTTGTTCCTATTGTGCAATTTAATTATATTCATATCAATAAATATTCTACCGAGAAAAAGACGTTGTCACGTAAAATCTTCGCCCGTAAAACCGACTTTACAGGCAACCATTTTTTTTTAAGATTAATTAATTCCATAATGATTTCTGATAATATTCCTACTTCGTGGAAATTACAAGAAGTAATTCCTATTTTAAAACCAAATAAGCCATGCGAATTCATACACACCAATAGCTCTCTCATCCGTTCTTGCTAAATTAACCGAGCATCTAATAAAAAAAAACGTTTACAATGGTTTATTGAAACTAATGAATTTCTTGCTCCGAATCAATACGGTTTTAGAAAGGGACGAAGGTGTATGGATAGTCTTGGTATATTTACTACCGACATAAGATTATCCTTTAGTAACAATGAATCAACACTTATAGCTTTCTTAGATATAAATGCTGCCTATGATAACGTCGATCTTCACGTAATAAAGCTGAAACTCCTAAAATTTAAGGTTCCTTTTTTGATCACTAATTTCATCATTAATTACTTGTCCGGTAGAGTGATTACAATTGGTACGAGCGATTCAAACTATAAATCTAGAACCTTATGGAAGGGTTTACCCCAGGGATGTGTTATAAGCCCTATCTTGTATAACATTTATACACATGACCTAGATAAACCAATCATCCTGTTATTATAGATTCTAGAAAATTCCTCTAGTAATAAATTACATTACTTAAAGGTTTTGATGTAGTTTTTACCTGGATAGGTATTTCTAGCAAAAAAATTGCGGATAAACTTGCCAATGATGCTGTAGATTGTGGCGATATTTTTCCATGCAAAAACTTCATTAACGATCTTTTAGGTCTTCCTTATTCGGATCTTCGAGAATCCTGGGAACAAATATGGTCTATTTCTAGTAAAAACAAAGGGAAGCATTACTCACAAATTCAAACTTTCATTCCTACATAGCCTTGCTTTTATAATTTTAAATTTGGCAAGATAACGACGTCTGTTGTAACTCGGATGGGACTGGGTCATGTTTGCACTTCTTCTCATCTGGCTAGATTAGAAATAGTCAACAGCAGCATGTGTAATTGTGGCGCCGATGTTGGTGATTTAAACCATATTTAATCATTTTTCGCGTGCTCTTTATATGACTGTTCCTCTTTTATTGACTCCTTAACATCCCTTCGTATTCCCCTCCCGTCTTCTGTAAATACTTTGCTCTATTGTATGAAGTTTGATATTTATTTAAGTACCTATTTCTAATTTTATCCAGAAACACAATATTAAACTGTAAATACTTAACTGATCCTGTCCTTCTAAATTACCGTTTCTTTTTTATCCTGTTTCTTTACCTTAACACTTGTATGTGGCTGACGCCAGTGCTGCCAACCTGAATTTTAGAAAATTAGTAGATTATGTGCCAAATGTTGGTAGAATGTAAAATGCAGAAATGGTAGATCTACCACCTCAATTTAGAAGATTTTTTAAGATTACAAATGCATGCAGAGCACACTTCAGATCACACCTACATGATTTGCAATAAAACTATCCGTCACCCTTAGTAATTTCTTGAAGCCAACCTGCAAATTCCTTGTCTTTCTCCCATCATTTCGAATACATTTGGTCATATTGCCTTTTTCGAGGTTTTCGTGGCGAAGTTCCTAACCTAGAACTATGTGCATCGCTTTCACTGCTGTCAGAATCCATTATATAAATAAATGCACGCAACATACAAACAAACAGCAATCAGCACCGTTAATACGCAGTTAATTAGTTTTTACAATAAAACAGGAGCAAAGATTCAACATTGATTCCGCAACAAACCAACCGGGAATAGGCCACAGTAGGCATAGTAAAATATGGGCGCGAAATTGTGCGAACGCCGAACTCATGGCGAACTGTTGCTGACGTTTTTTTTTGTGGTTGATGGCCTGGACTCTATGTATGCTTGACGCATCGTTGCATGACTCACGCAATACATCGCAACGTCGTCGCTCGTCAATATAAAAATAATTCAAAGTGGTGATATGTCAAACTAATTAAAAAATAGGTAGTTTTTAGGTCTAGGGTGGTAGATAGGTAGGCTGAAGTGAAATTTGGTAGATCTACCAAAAAGTTGGTAGATATGACAGCACTGGCTGACGCACAAACCGTGCAGGCTATAAAGGAAAAAAAAAGAAATGGTCTACTATAAACTGTTTGCTCTGCTGTTTTATTTTTTGTGGTAAAACGAATTTGTATTGTGGTACCTATTTGTTATTTCAGTATCTAATAAAATGGTTGGGCCACTGACTATTCTTAAAATTCTTCACTGTAAACAACTATTAAAAAGAAGAGCGAGAAAACGATCCTCCAAAATCAAAGAAGTTTATGATTCCTCTTCAGATGCTGAAGACCAGAATGAGACCAAAGAGGAAGAAGAAAACATATGTAGAGTTTGTATGAATGAAGGTAATATACCAATATTTGGAAACGATCTTGTAGAAGACGTGTCGGAATCTTTAAGAAGTTTCGGAGGCATAGAAGTGGAAGCTGAAGATGCTTATTCAAAGCACCTATGTTCAAGTTGTTATACACAACTACAAAATGCAATTGCTTTTAGAAAAACTGCTCAAAAAACAGAACAACTTTTGAGGAGCCCTGGAGAAGAATCTACAGACCCAATAGAGCCATCATTTGAAGATGATACGAATGGATCCGTGGAAATGGATGATGATGAACCTTATGAATACAAAAATAAAAAAGTGAAAAAGGAAAGGAAATGGAGATGCAGAAGATGCGACTTAGATTTCAAAGGATTTGAAGACTATCAAGCTCACAGGTTGTCTGATGAACATGAGAATTTCAGACAGACTTGTCCAATTTGCAACAAATCATTTATGCACTCATCATTCAGAAATCACATGAAACTGCATGGTCAAGAGAAACCATATATGTGTGATTTTTGTGGTAAGAAATTCCGAATGCAAGGACAGTTCAGCCGGCATCGTGCAACCCATATTGATGACTTACCATTTCAGTGTTCACTGTGCCCATATCGTGGGAGATTTAATGAATGTTTGAAAATGCACATGAGAACTCATACTGGGGAAAAACCATACCAGTGTGCAGAATGCCCAGCCCGGTTTGTAAATAAAGGCAATCTAACAAGGCATGTGCTCATACACAAAGAGGAACGTGACTTCAAATGTGATGCATGTGATAGAGGATTTTACACTAAACGTGAATTGGAGTTGCATTTAAAAGTCGACCACACTGGTGTCAAGGACCATGTTTGCAATCTCTGTGGAAAGGCGTTTGGTTACAGAAGACAAATGCTGAAGCACCAATTGAAAGTTCATAAAAGGGAAAAGCTGCGTGGAGGCCGCGTTCCTGTTTATCTGACTCTCGAATCTGAAAAACGTAGAAGAGAATTAGCTGAAAATCAGATGTTGTAAACACCAAGGATTTAATTAGTTAATTTCTATATCAGTATGAACTATATTTTAAACTAAATAAGCCATTTGACAGTATATACTAATACCCTCATTTTGTTGCATCATGTTTTTATTCAAAACGTGAATAGTCTACAAAAAAGCTCCAGAGTGACACTCCCGACTTAATAGGCCTGCTTGTTTTTTAGAAAAAGTCTCAAGGTTGACTATTTTCCAGATAACGTAAATTACAAAAATATTAGTGTTTGTTTTGGTTTTTTAAAATTTTATCATCTGGCTGGCATCTGCATTTAATATGAATATTAGCAGCAATTTTACTATTCTGAGAGAACATGTAATTAATAACTATTCTAAAAATACATTAAATAGACTTTTTTTTTCTTTGGTCACATGACCGAAAACACCTGGGTTTTGGCAAAGACTGAATTAATGTGAGATTGTTTTCTTGTCTTGTTAAATACCCTATTACATAATGTAGTAACCATTAAAACTCTAAATAATGACTGTTAGCAGTGAGCAGCTGATATGTAGCAGATGATAATCCTTTACTACATAATAATTTTCTTGTAAATTTAAGCAAATTTAGAATGTATGCAATGCAATGATCTGTAGTAGTTTTATATTGTGATGATTTTTTTCAAGATCTGAAAATCGAAAATGTTATTCTGAAGAGTTTAATTTAGGAATCAAATAATAATAGATCAATAATTAAATGGATATAAATGTTTTAACACAGTGCTTTAACATCTTGGTAATTTTGCCTCAATTTAAAATTATTATTATTTATTTTTATTTCCTAATAACATTGATATTATTATGTATACATTAAATAAATAAAAATTTAAGTAGAACTGGTCCTCTCTATCTATTGAAATTACGTCCTTGACCTTGCCTTCACCTGATGCCCTTTTATTATCAGGTGGTGGTCAAGAAAAAAAAATGGAACATTTATTTACCTTTTAAACATAATATAAGTAGCTCATGCTATCTGAACGCTTTGCGGACCCACCTTATTAGGTTTGTCAGCAATCTTTTTTATAACTAATCAGAATCTATGGTGGGCCAAGTTTTTGCTCAAGCCACTTACTATTTTTTTTTCAAAAAACGCAGTGCGGATTTAGCGGATCTGTTGCCATGGAACTGGAATTCGTATACTTACCTATACGCATCCAAATGAAACTGCATTCGTGCGGATTTACATGGCGGACCCCCCTTTGCCCCTAAATCGTCTTACGTAATAAATAAATGGCCATGCATGGAAAGATGAACAAATAATTAAGAACGAGAAAAACTTAGTAATACTTACCTAATATTAACAATAATTTAATAATTCGACTATAACTAATAATTAATATAATGCTGGCTGTAGTATAGTAATTAATTAAAAAACTTCTTATTTGAAACAAATTAGGTTTGTACTTTAATATTTAGTGGCATGTCCTTGGCTGTGGATAACTGCATGACAGCGGCGCGGCGTCGACGCTACAACCTTCAATCGAATTATTCCACTTTTCCAAAAACAAGTCGTACAGCTCGTTAAATGTTACCTCACCGTCTGTTTGATAGTTTATTTTTCACTTGGTACTAAAGATTTTCGATCGGAATAGGATCTGGAGTGTTCGTAGCCATTCAAATACAGTTACCAGTTGACTGTCTAGGTATCTTTTTACAGAGTGCAGTATCCTTCAGGTTATTATCATGCTGGAATCTCCAAATTACTGGGAGATTGCCATCTGTCTCTGAGCAAAACCACAGATGGACATGACGTAACTGTAAGGGTTCCTTGTTAGCACTATGAAACCCCAAAAAGGAGTAGTACTTAAATTTAATTTGTTAAGCATGTAACTGCTTAGAAAGTAACAAGGGACTTGGTTTCTTCACTCTACTCCAACTTATCCAAACACTATACATTATTGTATTAGTTCAAACAAAAATCCAACTACACTGTATACTGAATAAGCCAGATTAAAGCGATTTCGCAATAGCTAGCTAGGTCACAATTATGCAATCAATTATTTTACAAAATGATTTTAAATATACATGAAGCAATAAGATCGATACGTTCGATTGCATCAGCAGTCAAGATACAGTCCCAATTGAATTTGTAATTGTTATAGTTCTCAATTCCTTTTTTGTTGACAGATTATAAATTGATTTCATTAAAACTACAAAATCATTACCTTTTTAATTTATTCAAAAAAAACCTTATCAATAATACATATCAAGTAAATTTTTTACCAAAAAGATTATTTATATAACTAAGAATTCTTCTATACAATCTTTATCTGTAATAATATTTGATTTCAAATAATTTGGAGTTCTTCCAATTCTTAATTTTTCCCTTTTGTGCACTTTTAAGGTGTGTCTCATTAAAGCTCGGCGGTAAACAAAATTTTTATTACAAATAATACAATGGTGTGCCTTTTTGCCAGTGTGCAAAGTCATATGTTCAACCAATTTTGATTGAGTGACAAACCCCTTATTGCAGACATTGCATGCAAAGCTATACTCTTTATGAGTAAAACTATGCCTGTTAAGATTACTTTTGCTAGTGAACCGACAAGAGCATTTGTTACATTTATATGGCTTTTCGCCAGTATGTTTTCTCATGTGAATTTTGAAGTCTGCACTGAACCGTGCCTCGTATGGACATTCCTGACATTTAAATGGTAAATTATCAAAATGAGATTTACGGTGACGAGTATAAGATGGTTTCAGAAATTTTTGTCCACAAATATCACATTGGTGTGTTTTAGTTTTTTTATGTATAGCTAAATGTGTCACAATGCATTTAAATTGCCTGCAGCAAAATGGACAGGTATCACTTGCATTTTTATGTTCTTTTGTAAACATATGTTTGGCATATGCTTTAGAATTTGAAAAAACCAAATCACATTTGCTACAGTGGAATGTAGTGTGTTCATCCTCCAAGGTCTCTTTGAAACCACTCCTTTTAAAATTAAGAGTCTGCAATCTTTTTTTTTTATGTTCTTCATCACTCACGGATGCCTCTTCTTCTCGTGTATAAATGTTTTTATGTTCTTCATCATTCTCGGATGTCTCTTCTTCTGGTGCATAAATGTTACCAGCTTCTCTTAACAACGCATCAGTTTCTTGTGCAATCTGTTTAAATAATAATGCACTTTGTAATTGTTCATTACAAGCGTGACATAAATACTTTGGATATTCATCATCCTCTTGAATTTCTACAGTTGTTAGCATGAAGATGGCCGTAGGAATATGACACTGATTTTCTTCGCCATATATTTGTATATCTCCATCGTTGAGACATATTCTGCAAGAGGTGGGCACAAATTGTACTTTTGTCTTCATTTCAAAACCTTTGTGCTTTTTATAGTAACTTGGTACTTCAGAACAAATTTTTTCAACGGCAGATTCAGAAGCAGAACTGCGGTACTGTAATTTTATCCTTTGCTTGTCTGTTATGGCTACATACATCTAAAATTATATGACAGATTTATCATTATCAAATACGAATTTATAGCGTAAGTAGACTTCCAGGACGGACAGTCAGAGAAGAGAAACACGATAAACAATAATTTATAAAAACAGTATCTACTACAGGTAGCTACTCGTGCAAGCAATGGCATTACTAGAGATGTGCCGAGTCAAGCTGACTCGAAACTGACTCGAACACCTAGCAGGTACTCAAGTACTCGAGTACTCAAAATATTGAATTCGGATCCACAGTACTCGAGTACAGGTTTCGAGTACTGACGGTATTCGAATACTCAGTCGTACTCGTACAGTGAAGTTAGTAACTGAAGTGTTGATGAGTCGGTGCAGGTTTGAACGTGTTTATGTTTCCTACTCGGCAGATCACTTTAATGAGATGTTAACAAAAGTTTAATTACATATTTGTTTCTTATATGTAATTACCTATTTTAATTAGTCGAACTCTCCGTTACCAGTTTAACTGTAGAATTTGTGTAAAGTTTTACTGTTTTTTAACTACTTAATGTCTTTGCGATAGGATGGCTCCGAAGAAAAACTCCGAAGTATGGAATTTAAATAATATTTTTACAAATAAAAAAGTGGAGTGCGAAGAGAGTAAAAAAACATTTGTTAATTTTGGAAACACCATATATTTATTAAAACATTTGAAAAAAAAACATCCTTTGATTTATACAGCGATAATAGAAAAAAAGTAAGCAAAATGAAAACGAAAGCTTGGATGAGAGTTCTAATTTGGACTTGGAGTCATTAGACTCATTAGCATCGTCATCTACAATTCAATCAAATGACATTGACCAAGTACCAGCGAAAAATCGTATAAGACTGCTATTATATATATAGTCGTGAAATGCTATTCAGGTCAACTCGAAGAGTATAGACCGGGGAGGGAGGAGACTCGAAAAATTACAAGGTCAACGATTCAAAAAATAATCGAGACCAGAAACTCGAATACCTATCCGAGTTTTCCGACTCGAGTCCTAATTCGAATCTTCTTTTAACGAGTACTAAAATACCCGAATACCAGAAATAACCGACTCGGCACATCACTAGGCATTACATTTTTCTTTTCCTTTTTTTATGGCATGCACGGTTTGTGCGTTAAATGGCATAGAGTATATAGACTAGTTTTTTAAATTACTTTACTCATTCTGGGATAGTTAAGGGTACTACCCATACAGATAGTCTTAAATTAATAAACAAAACTACTAGGTATAAAGTGGGGTCGAGATTTTACGTATAATGCGATTCAATTATGAATAGGAAAGCCAATGACCTCCATCTGTCAATAGTCACTTGAAAAGTACAGTTTACAAAAAAATCTTGGAATACTTTTTTAGCACTCAGCTAATTCAAGAATAAAAATCAAACATTTTTAAACAAACAATAACAAATATTGATAGTTAATAGTGAATATCGGTTGATTTTTTTTCATTTATTGAACTTTGGCTATGAATGGTTGGTAACCTAAATCGTCAACCAAATGTCACTTTATGCTGCGTCAGATGGGAACCCTCTATCAAGGAACTTATACTATCTGGAATGCTTACATGAGCCTCAAAAGCATTCCGAAGAGTAAACTTTAATTAGTGGAAGCTGTCTCTTTCTAGTAGTGTGTCCAAACAGTGGTGTCAATTCTGGCGTGATTCTCTAAACTTAAAACTTAATTTAAGGTAAGTCTCACCTTTTCATTCTGTATAGAGAAGGACAAGGATGTACTGTTGTCAAATTTAGGTTTAGCTTTAGAGAATCATGCCAGAATCGACACCAGTAACAAGTTATGAGTTAATTATTTTTCTCTGGGTGAAGTAACCTTCTAATTTTCAATTCTATATCCTTAAATTTAAAGTCCAATAAAATATTGAAATCTTTAAAAGACCTTCTTCGACCATATGTATTGCATCTGTTTTTTATCCAACATTGAACAGGATTTACGATTCTCAAATTATAATTTTATTTTTGTCAAACGATACGTTTTTCAATAAAATTTTATTTTTTTCAAACGATACGTTTTTCAATAATTCTTATGTATACTTTAACAAAAATGAAAGTAAAACCACTGAAAACATATTTAAGTAATTATAAGTTAAATTACAGATTATTATTTTAAAAGTCTTCAAAACATGACGGATGGGTTTATCAAAAAATGTATAGATTGGTATACATTTTTTTGTCCTGAAAAATATAATTGGCAGATTATAAATTAGAAGCTTTTCGATAGCGTTTATAATATTATAGTATAAATATATTACAAATGTAAAATCCGTTCAAAAGTTCATTCATTACCGTACAACATGTGTTTGACTTTTTTGATGAGCATATATATTTTGAAGTGATGACTGCAAATTAAACTATAATTTAAATATTTATTATTAATATAAATGATATGATGAAATATTTAAATATTTCAAGCCACTGTTGCCGAAGGTTCTCATTCTTTGGGAAACTGCAAAAATAATATAATAGATTACTACTATTACTTATTAGAAAACTTAGGCTTATGCAAGATTAATTTTAATCTTCTTACGTACACATTTGATTTACGGGATTCAAGGAAGAAGGTTGTGTATCTAGCGGTGAAGCACTAGCATTGAAGCAAAAGAAAACTACCAAGAAAAGAATCAAGACCTTTAAATGTCACATCCGTGGTGAGACTGGACCACGACTGGACATTTCAAGAAGGATTGTCCTAAAAGGGTGCAAGGAAAACCTGGTGCTAGTACTAACATAACGGTTATACTAGTAAATACGACAGAAAGCAACGTAGAATGGTACGTGGACAACGGAGCCACACACCATGTCACGATGAGAAGCGACCTGTTCCAGGAATTTACATGCTTTAAGGAACCGCATACGGTGACAACAGCAGATGGGAAAATAATAGAGGCTGTAGGCATAGGTTCGATTCAAATGAAGACGAAAAAGGAAAAGTTCGTAATGAGAGACGTGTGGTACGTTCCCAAGATTACGATGAATCTTTTTTCGGTGCTGGCGGCACATGATGTTAATACACAGAGTGTGTTTGAATCAAGAGTCACCACATGTTCATTAAGAATAGAAGGAAAACTGTGCGTAACCGAAATCAGGCGAAGGCAAGTTGGTTTGTACAAGTTGAATTGTAGTCCTATTCAAGCAAACGAAGGAATCGTTAGCATGGTGAATGGAGTAGGCACACTACAGTTGTACTATGAACGCATGGAGCATCAACAGAAACGCCATGTCAAGAAATTATTAGAGCAAGAACTCGGTATAAAAACCAAAGATGGTGGTAATTTATGTGAAGGTTGTATCTTTGGCAAATCACATAGACGTAAGTTTGGTTTTAGGGAAAAGGCTACAAGTTTAGGTGAACGAATTCACACGGATATTTGTCGTCCGTTCCCTCCAAGTTGCTCTAAGTCCCAGTATTTCGTTCTCTTTAAAGAGGAATATAGTAAATGGTCAGTGCATTCGCCCGGATTGCGAAGGGTGTTGGTTCGAGTCCCGTCCGCTGCCTGGTCCGCGTGGATTTTTTTTCTAGTAAAGCTTTTCTTTAGATTTGAACATCTAGCAGTTAAATGCTTAAAAAAACATGAATATAGTCGTTTTCGTTATGTCCATATAATGAAGCATAAATCGGAAGTACCAGAGATTTTGTGTTTAATGTTAGCAGAGTCAAAAGTAGCAGGTCACACGATTAAGGAACTTCGTAGCGATAATGGCGGAGAATTCAATAAGAAAGATGTTCGAAAGGAACTGGAAAAGTATGGGATACACCAATGACTCATGATGGCTTATACCCGGAACAAAACGGTTGTAGCGAAAGGGATAACCGTACAATAGTCGAGCAGAGCTAACACAAACAGCTATTTACATATTAAACAGAACTGGCCATACAATGGTAGAACATAAATCTCTATTTGAAGTGTGGTTTGGCAAGAAACCTCAGATCAAACACTTGAGAATTATAGGCTCAACGTGTTACGTGCATATTCCGAAACAGAAAAGGAAGAAAATGCAGAAGAAGGCACAAAAATGCATACTAATCGGCTAGTTGTTATGATGATGGGTATAGAATATGGCACAAAGAAACAAATACATTAGTGAGGTCTAGAGATGTCACTTTTGACGAGAAACCTGTAGAGTCTAGGCTAGAAATCATGGATTCAGATGTTTCAAACGAGATCGGTGATATGGGAATTCCTTTAAGATTCCGTAAGGAATATGAACCGGCTCCTACAACAATCATTACAGAAATGAAGGACGATACACCAGTGATTGAAAATGACAATTGCGGTCTATTTGACCACCAAGGTCTTACTGTGCCTCCTGTCATTAGTAGTGACGAAGCTGAATTTGATGATACACCAGATAGGTCAGAACACAATGAATCTATTGAATTAGGGGGGGAGAATGAGACTGAGGTTATAGAAGAGTTGGCAAGTAGTCATGGCATGCAACTCAGGGATCGCACTGATCTCCGACCACCAGTAAAATTAAATGATTATGTATCTTTTGTAAGCTCAAGTAATAATGATTACACAGAACCTGAGAGTTATAAGGAAGCGATAGGCTGTTCTGATAGGGAATTATGGAATAAGGCCATGCAAAGTGAAATTGATTCTGATGATTCGTTAATTGAAAACGGAACTTGGGTCCTTAAAAGTTTACCAAAACACAAGAAAGCTATCCCCTGTAAGTGGGTTTATAAAATCAAGCTGAACCCGGACCGATCAGTTGAGAAATATAAAGTCCGACTAGTAGTTAAAGGATTTAGACAAAAGAAGGGAGAAGACTACGATCAAACTTTTAGCCCTGTAGCTAAATTAGCCACAGTTAGAACGTTATTGGTTGTAGCTGCCAATGAAGGCATGAAGATGTGTCAGTTTGACGTGTTTACAGCATTTTTATATGAGGAGATTTATATGAAACAGCCCGAAGGTACGAGGACGGATTAGATCGTGTCTGGCTGTGATATGGGTTAAAACAGGCACCCCGTTGTTGGAATTGAACGATACTAGATTTTTTCTTAGAAATGGCATTTCAAATCAGTGAGGCTGATCCATTCTTGTTTCAAAGAGAGAAGGCTGGGGAAAAGTTGATCGTGGCTCTATATGTTCGATGACGGACTTGTCGCAGGAGCAAGTCAAGCGGTTATAGAAGAGTTCCTTCAAGAATTAGTAGGGAGATTTACAAT